GCTTCACTACCTACAGGTCAGGCAGACTGTTATATCGTTACGACCAGCAAGCGTGACCCACGAGTGGAACCGTACGACCCAGCGAGAGAGAGAGCAGTACCCGGCAAGAACGATTGCGGTACCCCAGATCGAGACCCAGAGAAACGGTAACGGAGAAAGCGCCCACGAACCAGTACGATCCCCAGAACCCGACCAGACAGAAGAGGAAGACAGGACCTTCAGGCAAGCTTGTGTATTTGGCTCAACCAAAAAGGTCGGTCAAAGCGGACAGCTCATGCGTTTATACACAGTTTCGGGACCGGCCATCATTGACCTTGTGAATTAGCTCGAAAGTAGTGGTTTACAGAGAAATGGCCCAATCAGGATCGAGCATGGCCGGTGGTGCAGGATTAATCTTTCTTGGCGCGAAAATTAGGAAATTTAAATTTTATAAAAAATAATTACGAAAATAGAGAAAAATCGGGCGAAATAGTCACTTTTAAGGCGGAAAAAGTGGTTCATACATCAACACTCAAGTGTATCATAAAAAAATAATCCCCTGATAAATTACAAGATGCAATCAATTTCCTGCTGTCTCACCCATCGGTACTTCGAAAAAGTGGGTACATTCCAGGAACTGCGACATGGCATGTTGGTCAGTGGTTGATGCCATTAAGTAGTATGAAAAATCGGTTGGGAGTTTTGCAAAAAAAATAAACAGGACCGGTCGATCGACGTTACTTCCTTTACTTATTCACACCATTGTGTACTGTTTATTCAGTTTCGAGCTTCTAGTCATCCCGAAACTACTTCAGAGACATCTTTCCTTATCACATTACCGCCTATTACCTCCGGATATTTCTTCATTCCTTTGCAACCTTAGGCTAACCTCAGAATTGAGTACATAGCGTCCACCACAATATACAACTGTTTTAGCTGTAATAATCACCTAATGAAAACAGGATTGACCCAGGTGGAACACTGTGAAAACAAGGCACAAAATTCGCATTCCGAAGGAATCTTTTCATCTAAATTGGGGGAAATATCTGTTTCGGGGTATACTTAGTACATTGACTTCTTTCCCATATTCCAAACTGATTTTTCTCTGCGCAGTCTATTCGACTTTCTTCTGTGTGCCATTAGCGTCTGTGGACTTCCTTTGTTCCCTTTTCTGTGGCCAGTGTAAGTTAGAACCGATCGATGCATTCGTTATAATCAGTGTTGATAAACATAAACGGATTAATTTCGACACGTGATATCATTAGAAGTGCGTCGCTCGAACAGTCGGGCGCCTTAGATTCTGGTTACGATGACCTTTGTTCAGTGACCTGTCTAAGTTTATCGGTGCTCAGACAAGGAAAAGTACGGTTATCGTTCATTCACTGACACAGGTGCATCTCCGCGACGGCGGTTATTGATCGCTTGGATCTGACATCTCACTCCACACACCCACTCACCAGATAATCGAGATTATCGTCCATCCATTTGCACGTTAGTGAGACGAAGCCCATCGATAGACCAAATGGCTGTGGTTTTGGTGACCACTAGCAAAAATGACCACATTGGAGTGCTTAACTGAATTGCAGAAGACACTTCTGCAGATTACAAAATCATAAATTGTCCTTTTTCTCAGGTTGTCTCTCCTTAGATAATCAACAAACTTGCTGTTTAAGTCAAGTGTACACTCCAGTAATCCATCTGAAATCAGAGCATTAACTAGGTTAAACAGCTTCAACTAATCCAGTAACTTCTGCGTTTCTCTCATCGAGATGGCTTCCGGTGCATTCACCGCTACACGTTCATCTTCTTCTTTGCGACGCATGCCTTGGTTCGAAATAACTTCATCTAATGACTAAAGTGAAACTTGAAACAAAATTTTTAAACGCGGATATTGAAATCTTCGATCAGATCACATTTATCCCCTGGTAGCTGCATCACTGGCTGATTCCATGTGGGTTTGAACCCAGCGCTTATGAAAGCGTTGATCAGTACCTGCGAATGCTCAAACACCCAAGTTTTCTTGACCAGATGAGGATGTCCACTTCAGCTTTCATGCTGCGTCGCCCATCTTTGCTCACAGACAAAACGTATTCCAATAAATTTTTCCGAACCAAACATTTTAAAGAATAGATCACGCCCTGATCCATTGGTTGTTTCTTGGACCCAGAGGCTGTTTTTCCTTTGAGACTTGATGTTCTTTCTGAGAACCGTCTGTAATACAAAGCTGTTTCATTTGCATTGAGAATATCAATCGGGTATATCCATGGGTCAACTGCGATAACTCCGTTCGAAACTCGTCCAATGCATCAAATAGTACCGCCAAACATTCCCCACAAACCTTAAAGGTAATGCACGAGTAGTTGCTTGCCCCTTGCTGTGTAGGATTGAATACATCTGTTTGACCAACATCGAAACCAACCTTTAGAAGCCTTGAAGTCAATTCTTTGTGCTAGCTAGATTTCTTTCTTATAGACGGTGTTGTCGACCATGGGAAACTCACTGCTTTTCTCGCATAGCAGTAAACCAAGCTAAGGTCGCCTCGTTCACTGTCTTGAACTTTCCGTTGGTTTTCAGGCAGCATCTTTCCTGACATGTTACGGCGTTCACAGAATCTCCGATAGTCGTTCGATGACACGGTAAACAGTTTTTCGTGAAATACCAAGTGATTTGGCTACTCAGCTCTAAGTTGCACTTAGCCGATTAAGCATTTCCAAGATATTATGCTTCTTGAAAGCACTGGACAGCTGTTTCTACCTGGTTCGATCTCATCGGCAGTGCGAATCCATCGACCCAACTGGAGATCGAACCCGGGACCTCACAGGTAGGACGCAAGCATACTACCCACTGGGGCACGAGACATCTCACACCTCATTTACACAACAAACAAATCAAGTCCTCCATTATCCTCATATTCTGCTTCGCTCTGATCGATAGGCGCTTGCACAGTTTGAAGTCAAGTGACACTAACTTCGTTTGTTTCCACCATTGTGCCCTCCTCGCAAGGATTATCCAATCAGTATCATGTTTACGTCACACAGTTGAAAGGCTATTGGCTGAGTGCAACATTGCAGGTTGGCTGGTCAATGGTCGTCCCGAACATCGGTCAACGACCAAGTGAGTAGGTATCAGAAACTGCGTCATGTTGAGGGGGGCTACATTGCATAGTAAAAAGCTACATTATTATGCATAAGGTTGATCTGGGTTTTCCAAAATGTGGGAAGATATGGAAAACTGCGACTTCTCAGGGGCGCGACATAGCAGGAGATTGACTATAATAGATATCTTCTCACCCAGCATCGTACACATTGGCTCAAAAGCCGCATTTTTAGGGTGTAACAATACGACAAAACGATATCCATCGACGAGGTACAGTTCAATCTGGATAATTTACATTACTATTAGCGTGGTGCTTGAAAATTTTATTTAATTGGTAAAAATCTACAGAATGCACAGTGCGTTTCCTGTAACCAGTTTGAGAGTCATCTGGCAATCGTGAAGAGTAACCAAAAAGCAATGATGAGTACAAACAATTGAATATTCCTTTGTGCTGTTCGTTACAGCGAAGATAGGTGGAATAGCATCCTGCCACCATAGACACCGCTGCATTCCACCCCATACATCGAAAGAGCGTGCTTACTCGTGTACAAAATCCGGGTTTTGGTTTGGATATCTAGCAGTATCAATCGTAACCCGATTGAGCATTGGGCATTGTTGAGGGGGAGTGTTTTCGAGATTCTAAGGTCATTAGTTTTCCTACTGATATGAGGATCGCAGCCTGGGGGAACATGAGCACCACTATTAGTAAAACACTGATCAATGGTACGCACGAAAGCGTCTAGTGGGGTTGGGGATCGAAAAGGGTTGATCACACCACTGAGGTCAAAGAATTTAGATAAGAATCGCACTGTTCTTGTATTTCTATCGTACCATAGTTGAATATATATGTGCTTCACAGTTTTTTGTGTAATCACTCTTTGTTTGAATATTGCCAGATTTTACTGGTTTCGATGATTACTATATAAAGAATGGGCGTTGTAGTGCTGTCAACATCGAAAAGTTTGATTGTCCTTAGTTTTGACTCACACTGAATGTATACGTTGGAGTTGACCGCTTGAAGTTTGTAAGATGCGAATTTCAAATATTGCCTCCGCCCAACTGCAATGAACTAAATCCCAGTCCGATACCGCAGGTGTCCTACTAGTGCATTAGTTCAGTTCTCAGGGTTTGGTTACCGGTTTTAATGAGGTTTGTCCGTTGTTCTATTCCCACTGTTTAGAGACGCTGTGATATGAGTGACTGCCGTAAACAGTTGCGTTCTTGCACCTACTCGATTTCCGCGCACTCCCAATCTACTTGAATCTCTATAGTCACTTTGTAGTTNCTACTCCTTCAGTTAAATAGGCTGCCAAAAGACAACAACGCAGATAGCCGCAAAGAAGGACTCGGGTGTCAGCTGTATAAACGGAAACTGCTTTTACGCCTATGATGATTCTTCTCATACATAATCTTACTAACTCCGTCCGATAATCTATGAGCAGCCTATGAACTCGGGGTTTCCTCTTCATTTCGGTAAAATTGTGATATCAGGTTGTTTAGCGTTTAGTATTATTGCAAATCGTTTAAAACCGTTTTCTTTACCAGACTTGAAAGGATTTTCTAGGTCCTATTCATCATTTGTGGTGTTAGTTTTCGTCATTTTATTGTTTTTGTCAGATATAATCCTGATTTATAGCACACCCTAAATAATATTCGAGAGAACATTAACATCATTTTTCAGTCTGAAGTGAAGAAACGTAGTCGCATGGAATGGGAAGAATCGGTTCGTACCCGAACGGGTAAACGCCCACGTCGTGGTGTGCAGTCCAGCACTGAAAAACGTCCCCACGCTTCCACCGTCAAACGTGGCACCGCACCTGAGTCAGTGATGCTCAATCTTCAGTCCATCATGGAGAATGATCATGATCTCAGAACCGGAGACCAGACCGCATTTGCATCTGGCGAGCCAAGCGTTCAAACGGTGAGTATTTTTGTAACTGAACCGTGTCCGGCGAAACGGAGAAGCAGCACTGAGCGAAACCATGAAAGCTACACAGAAATGAAAATATTGAGATTTGGATGTGTAGGAAATGGGCACATGCGCTAATGGTACTTTGCACGACAATCAGGTGTATCATCAGATGCTCCTAAACTTTGATTCCGAATCCTCGATCCGAGAGCTCAACTTGATCTGTCTTCTCACTAGGTCGGGATCAAGCCTCCTTTAGCTTTGTTCTTACCGCAGTATGATTCTTCTAAAGTCACACGCCAGGGGGGGGGCTCTCTGATGACACACGAGACAATTAAGATATCACGATCTGAGGAGGTCGAGCATCACTATTACGTAACGGGTTAGTAAGATCTGAGGATCGGTCTGATGTGACAATGAAACTGGGTGATTAAGCTGTTCGTCGTAAAAATGGGTACCGAAGCAGCTGCTCACTTTCTACATACCTTGTTTTATTTGTCGCTTCTCCTCAACGAATAATCGTAGCAAGGACACGTTTATTGAAGTCAATTGATCTTCAAGACAGAGCGATAGACCGATAGGTGAATGGCGGTCAAACTAAGATTTGACATGAAAGCTTGAAAACATTAACCAGGACACTGTCAGATTAATTTGTTACTACTATCAACCATACACTCATGCGCCGGTTTTGGTTGTTGTCTCATGACTGCCCGTTTGAAAAAAATAGATCACGAAAATAGTTGCGAATTAGAAATTTCGTTCTGTTTAGCCTTGCTTACCCCTATCCGATATTGTTGTTCAAATAAATAACTCTCCTCGTCCCAGCACCGTCTTGCGGATATATAACACCGGTTATAATGATTCCGAGGTCCCCATTCGGGTAGCCCAACGTCGCCTATGGGACCCAGTGTCCTGGCTAGGGTTTTCTTTTTCTCAGGTTAAGTGTTAATTTTTTTTATAAGA